TTTTTTTTTTTTTTTGAAAAGGTGCGAGTAGATGAGGGGAAGCTCCATTCAAGGTGAAGCGTATTTTTACTGCTCCCCCCTCACACACTGTCTCTCCATGGCTCTGCTGCCCCTCTATGAGTAGTCCTATCATTTTTGAGCACTGTGCCACGCTTCTCGCTGTGCCTGTAGCCCAGCTGATCCCAGTCCATATGTCCCTGGTTGGTGTTGCCATTCTTCACCACGTCTTCTCACCCCATCCCTCTCCAGTTTTGTGTGTCACTGTCACTGCTGTGAACCTTCCCATCCGAGTGATCCTCTCCCTGTGTATTCCTGTCACTATGTGTCACGCCGTGGCTGCCTCACTGTTTTGCCATCTAGGACTCCATGCCCTTTCCTTCAGGGTCGGTCCAGATATCACCGGTCTGTCCATGCTACTTTGGATTTCGCTTCTCAGCCATGATTGTGATTGTGGTAGCCACTAGTCAGAGGCCTGAAGATTCAGGGGATGAAACAGATGTGCCCTCTTCCCAAGAATCTAGTGTCTTTTCAGTATGACCAAGCCAGCTTCCTCTTCCACCTTCGCTAGGGAGGATTTGGAACTTCCTTAGCATTGTTGACTGTCCCTTTTGCCATATGCCCATCTCTCCCATCGAGACCTCATCTTCTGGTCTGTGTCATCTGCCCTTCCGGGAGCTTTCTACCAACCTCTTGCATGCTGACTTAATTTTCCTCCCTCTCTCCACTTTACCATACTGTATTTTTTTCATTTTCCTGTTTTCACTCCTTCTTTTCTATTCCTGTATCCTCTGGTCTTCCTTGCTTATTCTCCACCTTTGTTCCCATATTCTGCCTTCTTCCTACCTTTTCTCCTTGGTCACCCTAAGTTCCCCTTATCCCTTAGGCTCTTACCCGGTGTTTTAACCCTAGCAGTAGGAGATACCACAGACAAGTGGCTGGGAGAGGTGGGGGATATGGTGAAGGCACATAAACAGGCCAAGAAATCAATTTAATGGGCTTCCAGGGGCATATAACCCCCTCATCAATCAGTGCCATTATGTCAGTGAACTGTCAACTTTGATTTTGTAAGGGGACATTCTCTAGGACTCTAAGCTCCACCCTGCCTGGCTGCCCGCATCTTACAGTTCATTCTAAATATCAGTGGCTGTTTTCTTCACTTTTTATCTCATCTTCCTCCTGGGCCACTGCTAGTATTATTTTTGGATTTAACATCATTCTTTATGGACACTTTTTATTATGGTGAGGGTCGCTGTCTTCTTTAAGGGACCAGGCTCATTCAGCCTGAAGAAATGTGGTAAAGGTAGATAAAGGATCTGGCAAGTTTGTCTTGGTTTTAAGTCCATCATTGTTTTTTTCTAGACCTCAGAGCTTGGAAGGGTAAAAGGAAAAGGTGTATATGCACACATGATGGAAGATTTCAAAGCTGAACAGAATTACAGAAGGGAAGGGGACGATGGGTACAGTAAACATACAGGGTAGAGGAATGTATGACGTGAGGGACATTTAAAGGAAGGGAAGAAAATCTATGCAGAATAGGGGAAGGGAATGAACAGAGGATGATTAATGAAAAACTGAGAGAATGAAATAAATATGAGTTAATAGCTCTACAGAAGGAAAGGAGAGAAATGATAGAATATTCCTAAAGAGGCAGTCAACAAAAAAGCAATATGAAATGAATACAATGTGGTAAAATGGGGGAAGGGAGGACTTGATGAATGAGGTGGGAAAAGAGTGTGGTACAAAGAAGGTAAATGGATAGCAAAGGCAGGAGTGCTGAAGCAAATCAGAG